AAGTTTTTGGTTTGACAGGAAATCTGGAATGTTTCATCTCCCGTTTCTCATCTCCCCAAGTCGCACCACGAGAAAATCTCCACGGTTTCCTGTGGTTCATGGCGGTTTGGATCGGCCCCACCGCCCTCTCCCCAGTGTCACCCTATTGTACCCCTACGCGTCTCGAAAAGCTGCGTCATCTTGTCGTGGCACGTCGATTGCTCCACCTCTGCTATCATCTCGACCCCTCAAGATCTCGTCGCTCTCGCTCGCACCCGTCTCTCGGATCCCTTTGCCAGTATCCATCGCCGGCCAAGGCCGATCTCTGGATCTGTTGTCTTCCCAACACGATCGGGTTCCGAATCTTGATCTTCCGCGATGGCATACGGCGATCGCATGACCACGTTCGAGGATTCGGAGAAGGAGAGCGAGTACGGATACGTCCGCAAGGTAAATCGTTCTTTGTTTCCCTCTGCAGTCTCATGGAGTCCTACATGGTCCTTTTGACTATGGATTCTGGGAGTTTTAGGGTTTTCTTTGATTTCTTCTTACGGTGCTTGAATGCGTGGAATTGACCTGATTTATTGAAGTCCTTGAGCCGACTCATCTGGCAATGGATCATTGACTCGTGATCTGGAATGAACGGCGCGATAGTCGTATGAAAATGCGTTGGTTATGAAGCTGAAACCTAATTGCGAGGTTAGGATTTGGCGTGTTAGACTAACCGAATTATGTGATGATCATGAAGCTGTGTATTTTCGATGTTCGTAGATTGATGGACATCAAGGTCCTGCATGCACGTACTTCTTGTTTCTGTGGTCATGTAGCAGCCCCGGGCAAACTTATTACGTTGATTCCTTTGTCTCATTTTGGTTCTGTGAAATCGCACTACCTTTTTAAATCTCTTAAGCTTCTCTTCGTTTAACTGCAAAATTTTAATCATGAGATTTGAAAATATATCTAGGCTTCTACAGTCAACTATAGTGGACACAATTTCTTAAGCGGACAATACACAAATTTTAGTGTCAAAGATAGAGATGCAAGGTTCACCATACCACGGGATACTGCCAAGTACAGGCGGTATGTGTTGGTCTGACAGGGACCGGTATGAGCGGTACATATTGGTTTGCCGGTATATCCCACCGTACTGTGTTGGTACATTGATATAGTTTGATATATACCGTATCAATGGTTGGTCGGTATACGATACGAACCGATAAGACGAATCATGTCGAGATGAAAGTTTATTTTTTAGGTGTAAAAAATATTTAATGAAGACATAAATAGTCTTTTGTAAGAGAAAAATGTGTCTGATGGATGTGCATCACTTTTAAGTCTAGTTGAGGAGTCGCAATGTTCTATTTAGCCCATTTGTATTGTTTTCTATGTGCTGTTTTCACACACTTTTGTGGTGGTAAAATAAGAGAAATATTAACCTCTTATGACTTTGTGGTCCATATTAACTGTTCTGCACCAAAATGGATGCCAAATAGCCAAGAATGAGAGTTACATGTGCTTTTAAATTCTCTTTGATTTTTCTATTACAGTCAGCAGATGGAGTCCCATTGTAGGATGCTCTACTTGAGAATCAAGTATTAGTTTTTGCTGACTGCAGTCCACTTCAAAATTTACATTTATTTAGTTTTGGTAGTATATAGAAGCGACAGAACTTGAATGGTTAAATGGATATGAAATGTAATACAGAGAATTTTCCAGATTGTTGTTGATCGTATAAATACATATTAAGCTAGCATAAGATGAATTTGATATATTTTTTTAATTGACATTTAAATCTTTCAAGGAAAGCTAAAAACAATTACCAGTTTTTCTCTCTGTCCTTGCCTGTAGCATGGCAGAACCATCAGCCCCATTTCAGCCTGACTTGAAAATTGGTCATTGTGATCGGTGGGCTAGGCTAGGCCTAGTGGATAAGACTCCTGACTCATGATCGGTGGGGTCAGGAGGGCTTACTTGTTCATTGCATAATTTCGTGAGTCCAATCTGTTTGGACTTCAGGTTTTCATTGAAGACAGACCAAAGCCTAAATTAAGTCTGAGATTTAATTTTAACTAGATGTTCTGGCCTATCCCTCTTAGCAGGCTCATCATCTTGTCTGCTGTTGAATATACATTGCCAATATTTTTCAAAGCAGGGCTTCTTTTCTGCTGCAACGAGTAACTTATGTAGAATCTTTGCTTGATTGTTACATCACATTAATTATTACTGCAAATTTTCAGGTTTCTGGGCCAGTTGTTGTGGCTGATGGTATGGGAGGTGCTGCCATGTATGAACTTGTTCGTGTTGGCTATGATAAGCTGATTGGTGAGATTATTCGTTTGGAGGGTGATTCAGCTACCATCCAGGGTAAATGGCATCAAAATCTTTTTTCACTGTTTAATTCCCTTTGTTGTCTATCTTCAGTTATTTTAGGTTGTTTATTCTAAGGAATAAATGATATGTTGCCTACTTTTGTTTTTAAATTTCAGTTTATGAAGAAACTGCTGGTTTAATGGTCAATGACCCTGTTTTAAGAACTCGAAAGGTTATTAACATTTTCAGTGGTTATATCTCTTATAATTGATGTATGTGATTATGGTCTGGCCTTATCTATGGATTGATTTTTTTTTTTTTTTGTTTACAGCCTCTCTCAGTCGAGTTGGGACCTGGAATTTTAGGCAACATTTTTGATGGAATTCAGGTTTATGTTGAAATATTAAAGGAAAATCTAGTGTTGTTGGTTCCATGTGCTTTTTCCATCATTATGTGATTCTTATTGGTTAGAATTCACGTATCTAGATATTTGTGACTTGCCTAACTATAACTAGTGCCTCAATATGTTCTCACCTAATTATCTGATTAAATTCAGTAGCTTTTTCAATTGGTACAATTAAAGTTTGTTGCACTTTATTATAGCCTTAGTTTGCTTCGAATCTTGAAATTTCTCCATGTGTTTTCAATTCATATTCTCATTTGTTGTTAGTTGCAAAGGTATGCTATTTGACATTCATGTTATTAATCACCTCATTGAATTTGTATTTTCTTGTTATTAATCTATTTAATTCTTAATTGCATGTTCGTCCTTCTTCCTAATTACAGCGGCCTTTGAAGACTATTGCTCTAAAATCTGGTGATGTCTACATCCCTCGTGGTGTTTCTGTTCCTGCCTTGGACAAAGATATATTATGGGAATTTGAGCCTGGAAAATTAGGTAATTAGACCAATTACTTGGAATTCATATATTGCTTGTTTGTCCTCCATATTTTGGTTTTTTTATTGTTGCTAGCGTGTGACGTGCCTAAAAGTTTGATCTGTTCTTCCACTTTCTTTAGCTGTTGGAGATCTTCTGACTGGTGGAGATTTATATGCAGTAAGTTGTATGAAATTGGACAGATATGGAATATTAATTGATATGAGATTTAATTCTCATTATACATGTTTCAGTTGTCTTAAGATTCTAATGCTCATTATTTACCATGCAGATTGTCTTTGAGAACACACTAATGAAGCACCATGTTGCTCTTCCTCCTGGTTCCATGGGAAAAATCAGTTACATTGCCCCTGCTGGTCAATACAACCTGAATGTTAGTGAACTTATATATATGTATAAAAGTTCGTTTGCATCAAGCATTTTCATTATGTTGCTTTTGCTCAAGGCTTCTTTTTGTCTCACTTACTATTATATTTCTAGGACACTGTATTGGAGCTGGAGTTTCAAAATGTTAAAAAGCAGTTCAGCATGCTTCAGGTTAGTAACACTGTTCTTTGTTATTTAGAGTCTGATCTCCATTTTCCAATAAACATAATCACTGCAATGTCTCCTGACTTATTTCTGCAGACATGGCCAGTACGTACTCCAAGACCAGTTGCAGCAAAGCTTGCTGCTGATACACCTCTATTGACAGGACAGGTAAAATGGATGAGGAACACCAGGGATCATGTTATGCTTTTAGATAGTTTGAGAGTTGTACTTCTCGGTGTTCATAAAATTGCTTTCTTGTGGCCTTTCTTTCTTGTATTCAACATACTGAATTGGGTTCTGTTATTCAGCGTGTACTTGATGCTCTCTTTCCTTCTGTTCTTGGAGGCACTTGTGCTATTCCTGGAGCCTTTGGTTGTGGAAAAACAGTCATCAGTCAGGCGCTTTCAAAGGTAATATGTTTCTTGCTATAGTTCATTTCCTTGTTTTTGTTTTTGATTGTTTACTTACGCTTATCAACTTCTCCAGTACTCTAATTCTGACACAGTGGTTTATGTTGGCTGTGGGGAGAGAGGGAACGAAATGGCGGAGGTTTGTGTCCACTTGCCTTGTACTCGGTCATCCTTATGTCAATAAGATATCACATAAACCAATCTCCAGGTGCTTATGGATTTTCCACAATTGACAATGACCTTACCTGATGGTCGTGAAGAATCTGTCATGAAAAGAACAACACTTGTGGCAAACACTTCCAACATGCCTGTGGCTGCCCGTGAGGCCTCCATCTATACAGGTATGAGCTAAATAGTCAATATCAAGTGAGGGTACAATATATGCGGTTATGGTGTCTAGAGTAAGACTCAAATCTAAATTATAACATGTCAAATGCTATCATGCTTTTCCTCAGCTAAGCAATTCATCTACACAACCCTAAGCGAACCTAAGTGAGCAAGTAGTGCAGACAATAATATATCTTAGGTTTATAAAATTTGCTATTAAAGGTGAAAAGGTAAGTCTATAGTAGGAGGACTCCTATATACTGTTATATTTGTTGCAATTATTTAGAAGTTTCTTATATGATATTATTATTTGTGGCTACCAACCAAAAGTTGTGGGAGTTCTGACATGTCAATTAACTTCTCAGAAGTTGCTTCATATAGTGATGAAAGTTTAAGGTGTCTCATCACTTGGCTGAATATTCTATATTTAAATATGCTAAGTTGATTTATAACCTCAAGTTCAGCCGGGATGTTACTGGACAAAATGTGATGAATCAAGTAGATTGGTTCTATCATCTATGCACCTTGAAGTTGGATATTGCCTTGAATTATAATAACCATTCTACATATCATAATTATTAAGTGACCTGAATCAGAAGATGAGGCATATACTGGAGTCTATTTGCAAAAGCCATATGTACTGGTCACTGCCTTGGTTGTAGGTTATCATAGATAGACTGCGAACCCTGCTTAGTCCTACAGCACATCTCACTAGACAGTGTTGAAATCAAGGACACTTTGCATCTAGAACAATTTATAAAAAAGATGTTTTGGTTGTCCTGATGTGCTAGTTTGGGATAAAGCATGTTATTTTTTAGGTTCCAAATCTATTAGTATTTATCTTCTTTTTCTTCTTGGATATTTGAGACAGCAAATAAATTAAGAGCAGAGCAATTTGGGCTTGATTCAGATGACCATATCTTAATTGTAGATGATGAATTGAAAATGCGGCCTTTATTTTCTTTCTTACAAGCATCTAATTATGGATATAAAGCAACACAACACTTTCGTAGGGTGTTATTTGGAGATCTAGGCAGTAATTTTCTTTAGTGTGCTGTTTAAGATGCCGAGATATCTTCAGATGCTTTTAAGTTTTCAAGAATTACCCCTTTTTTTTTCTTGTGTTAACTTCGTTCGACATTTCTTTCTATGAAATGGTCAGGGTATTATTATATGTGCATATGTATATATAATATGTGTATATAGCATATACAGCAATTTCCTAGAAGGACCCTATTTTCAATTGTTCCCACTTAAGACCTGATATGCTTTTCTTTTTCTTTTTCCCACTTAGACTCTCCTTAGACACCAGTTAGTCCTATGATTCATACCATGCAGATAAAGTATGCAAGGTGTGTACTGTGTAAAACAAGAAAAAGGCATTTGAACATGTCTTAAGTAGGCTAAAGGCCAATAGAGCAAAAATGAACCATTTTCAGGAAACAGCCTATATACATATATACATACATATATATATGTTGAGAAAAGCATTAGTTGTAATCTGCTATACTATAGGTACTTCTTGTTTTCTATAAATTAGAATTGATTATGTTTGTGTACATTTAAAATACGCAGGCATCACAATAGCTGAATATTTCCGAGACATGGGCTACAATGTTAGTATGATGGCTGACTCGACCTCCCGGTGGGCAGAAGCCTTGCGTGAGATTTCAGGCCGACTGGTGATTGTTCTTTTTTATCTTATCACAATTATTTAGCATTTAGTAACATGGTTGTAACTTACGCCTCATTAATTCAAACCTTATTCAATTTTTTTCCTGCTTTTCATTCTAAAAAGAGAACTTTTGTAATACAACTATGAAATAGATAGTGCAGTGTGCATGTAGTAGCTATACAAGGTTGCAGAAAATAACTGTTCTTCTTGCAAGTTTGTTCTGTGTTGTATTAACAATCACAGAAGAAGGGTTAAGACAAGTTAACAATTAGCGATAAATGCTTTCAAACACACTGAAAGTTAAGTTAATATGCAGTGTATTTTCTCTTCAGCACTCATCACTATTATTTCTGTTAATTTTCCTCCCCTTCTACTTCTTAAGTTTATTTAATCTCAATCTGGTTTGTACTTGTTTGTATATTTCTTCTTCGTCAGGCTGAAATGCCAGCAGATAGTGGTTATCCTGCTTATCTTGCAGCACGTTTAGCTTCCTTCTATGAACGTGCTGGTAAGGTGAAATGTCTGGGTGGGCCAGACCGAACTGGCAGTGTCACAATTGTTGGTGCTGTTTCCCCTCCAGGTGGTGATTTTTCCGATCCTGTTACTTCTGCAACCCTGGGTATTGTTCAGGTAATTGAATATTGATGTGCCATCAATTCTTCTCTGATATAGAACCTTGATTGATGTGTCATCAATTCTTTGCCTTGTAAATGCTATGCAGGTCTTTTGGGGACTGGATAAGAAGCTTGCTCAAAGGAAGCATTTTCCATCAGTGAATTGGCTTATTTCATATTCCAAGTACTCAAAGGTTTGTTATTGTACCATTATGTTATCCTTAAGTTACATGAAAAAAACTTGTAGTTATCTCAAGCATGGTTTGCAGTACCGATCCATACCGCCCGGTATGGGCGGTATGTACCGGTCCGCCAGACTTTCGGTATGCGGACCATATGTTACCGTTCCGACACTGTAGCATTACTGTAGCAGTACTGTATCATTATAGGACTGCTACAGTGCTCGGCACGCCTGAATATACCGCTCGGTACACCTGGGTGTACCAAGCGGTATACCGTACCGTACCGGTACTGAGCCCAGGTCGAAACTCCGGTACGGTACGGTATTGCGAACCTTGATCTCAAGTATCATGCACTTTGTTGGTTAGAGACTGTGTAATTAAAATTAGTGATGTTTTAAAACAAAATGTGAACGTGAAGTTGTGGGCATGCAGGGGTATGACAGGGCATTTGAAACCATCAGTCGTACAATTCTTATATTTTTATTTCATTTTTGTTATACTGAGTACAACAGTTGCTGTAGTGATAGATAGCGAACTGCTCCTAATATGCTCCAGCACCTTTATGACAGTACAGTTTTGCATCTAATTTCCATTGCTTTACTCTTCTGTTTCTTGCAGGCCTTGGAATCTTTCTATGAGAAATTTGATCCAGATTTTATTGACATTAGAACAAAGGCACGTGAGGTACTACAAAGAGAAGATGATCTGAATGAAATTGTGCAGGTAATTTTTTCCAGCTTATCTTATCATCATATGATAATTTTGTTTTAATTTGTTAAATTTTAACTTTTTTCTTATTGTTGTTGAAATCTAATTGTAACAATTTTAAAATGTCCAGGAGCTTAGCCTTTCTTAATATTTTATTGATTTTGAGATCGTCAAATGATTTGCAAAACCTTTTAGTTTTTATTTTACTAAGTCATAATATCTTTTACAACATGTTATAAATTTAAGGATTCTCCTTCTTCCCTTGTTATCACTGGATTTAGAGCTAGTTTTACATATGATTTATGTAATTATTGAAAATTTAATAGTACAAAGTTTCTTTCACATATTATGTTTTTAGTTATTATTTGTTGGTCTTAATGACTACTTCTGATTTTGCAGCTTGTTGGTAAAGATGCATTAGCAGAAACAGACAAGATTACTCTAGAGACTGCAAAGCTTCTGCGGGAAGATTATCTTGCACAGAATGCATTTACTCCGTATGTTCCATCTTTGTCATAATGACTTTTATTTCTGACTTCCTCATGTAGTTTTCTTGTCCTCCTAAGCTGATCCAATTGTCAACTCTTATGATTGTAACAGATATGATAAGTTCTGCCCATTCTACAAGTCTGTTTGGATGATGCGTAACATTATACACTTCAATACTTTGGCAAATCAGGTATTCTTCTATCTACTGGAAATATCTATTTTATAAATCTCTGACATAAAAAATTGATTTGTAGAAGCTTGTGTTTCTTGTTTCCGGTTTAATTCCAACCTTGGACTCACTTAGAGGCTGGTAATTGACCGGAACCAGGCTTTATTTTGAGTAGGTCTAAGGACTGATGCATTATCAGCCATTTATATGCTATTCAAGTTGTTGGCTAATTTTTCAGTTGTCTTTTTGGTGATGATGACAAATTTCTGGTTAATGTTTCATTTGTCTTTTTGGTGATGTCTGTTGATGATAATCTAAAGGAGTCTTGTTGTATTTTGCATTAAAGAAATCTTGTAGTATCTATAAACTTGTATTAGAATAGTTATGATAGGGCTTGTAGTTTTTAGAATTCTTGTATTCACTCTTGCTCTCATGTTAATTATCAGGCTGTGGAGCGAGGGGCAGGTTCAGATGGCCAGAAGATTACTTACAGTGTCATTAAGCATCGACTGGGTGACCTTTTCTACCGTCTAGTGTAAGTAATAGGCTGAAACTTGTGCTTGATGTATTGGAGCGTGCCTTTATCTTTTATCCTGGGGCTCGTCCAGATGTCTACTTAGTTGAAGATTTGAGTTTATATTTGGATTCCTCAGGTCCCAAAAATTTGAAGATCCTGCAGAAGGCGAGGAAGCTCTTGTCGCAAAATTCCAGAAACTATACGATGACCTCACTGCTGGGTTCAGGAACCTTGAAGATGAAGTACGTTAAGACCTGCAAAACCACAAGGGAAGCCAGTTAGGATCCCTCTCACCAATATATGATATGTAAATTTTGGGTGATTAGTAGCATTATCGAGACACCATGCTGCAGGTGTTCACCTTCAGTTTCGTGAGTCTTTTAACATATTTCGGTGTTATTATTATTTATGTGAACTACTGTAATAAAGGTGGGTGTATCCATAATAATCACTGTATCGATTAATCTTATATTATCTTGCAAGTCTTTGATGCTTCTTTTTATCAGAGAACTTTGTTTCATGCTAACAACAATCAAGTACTTTCGGAGGCCTAGGCGGACTTTTGGTTATCATCCTTGAGGTTTGTGTTTTGTGTTTCATCCCATTATGTTTCGGATCCTGTTATCACTGCACAGTTCGAAGATAGTATGTTTCTCTACATTGGCACGCTCGTTTTAGAATCAGTGAGTCATGCCTGAATGTTGCATGCTGATTATGCTTTGTCTGGCTTGATCAGGTGCACTGCGTGTGTCAGTGTTTTCTTCTTGCATTTCATTGAATATTTTTTTCACTCTTTTTAAACGTGATTATTAAGCTATGTTGTTAATGGTTTATGGTGTAGTACTGCACAGACAACCATGGCTTCCTATCAGTCACAACAAAGATGGCCGAACAGAAGAAGATCCCGCTAGTGGCTGCTGCTGCTGGTGATTCTGACGTCATGCCTAATTCCTCTCTGAGGCCTGGGTTTGTGTTTCCTGTCCTGGGCAAGACAGGCGAGCCGCTGCTGTGCCTATAAAATGTTTCCTTTTAAAAGACAGCAGCATCCAATTTGAAATCGGATGGGCCATGATCGAGCGCGAGGTCAATGATAATGACATGATCCACTTGCGTGTTTCATCTTCGTTTAAAACTAGCAAGATTCACTCGTTCATGTAGATATATATAAATATACATCTAGACATTGATACTAGTTGACTTCTGGATCTTCTTGGATCTAAACTTTCCAAATTCGATAGATATATCATCCATCATGGTTGAAACACCCGTACCCGATAGCATAAGCTAATAAATTCAATGATGTGATTCGGATCGAAGAAGCAGGTTATCGGATCCACCGACGTTCCATCATTGAGCTCACTCGATGTGGGGTTCCATCCCACCCCATCGTGTTCCCAACTCGCGCATTTGTGCTAAAGCCACATGAGGCCAGGCCAAACAAGGAAAAGAAGACGAAGCATATGAGGCTTACGCCGAAACTACAACCGAAGATATAAATATCCTTTTTTACCTTATTTTCCAAATAACAAGCGAAGAAAATTTCTCGTTGAAGCGAGGGAGAGACCGGCAGGTGCTTCCCCTCTGTCCGCGCGAGAGTGCCAGGGAGCGAGCGAGAGGGAAAGCCATATATGCACGCATAACCTAACAAAATGAATGGGGAAGAGTTCTTGATCGGTAGTTATTTTATTGGGCTCTTCAAATCTCCCCTATTTGGACTTCCTTTTCCATCGTCCTGTCTCCTCCCTTCTCCTCGGTAGATCTCTCCTCCCTCCGGTTCCATTGCGGATATTGTCATCGGGCGATCCCTCCGCGGGCTCCGCGGCGTTGGAGTCCGAGGTAATTGTTCAACTGTTTGATGTGAGCTTCGATCTTTCGTCTCTGGATGCCTTTTTTTTTGTCTTCGATTCGTTTTTTGCTTGGGAATTCTTTCTTCCTTTTTGATCCGTGGAGCATTCTTGCTCTGGTTTCTTGCCGTTCGTCGAGTCTTGATTGGGGTTGCGATTTTCTGGTCTTTTGAGAATTGGAATTTGGCGATTGGGATTTGGGTAAGTGGGGGAGTCCCGTTTCTTCTGTGGCACGCTTGGCGTTGGTTGATCCGTTCCGAAAGCTATGTTGTTTGCTCTCCTAGGTCTTACTTTTTTAAATTTCAGCTGGGAAACTCACCTAAAGTTCTGACTCCGTCGAAGCTCATAGTATCGCCCCTTGGTTTGGCTAGTGATTGACCTTTTTCTGGGTTTTTAAGACCGCATGGTATAAAAGGAGAAGATAGATTAGGATATCTCAGCAATGTGGAAGAATCATGTTAAGAATACAAGGACAAAATATGCTTTTGTATGTATTTTGTATCTTATTTTCCCTTTCATGTTTAACCAAGTAGAATGAAGTTACAATATAGCTTGAGATAATTGTCCTTGTATTCTTTTTTTTTTTCCCCTTTTGTATCTTATTTTTTCTTGTATCTTATCACCTATAGCTTGAGATAATTGCATCCTTCGCCATAAGTTCCAATATATCTCTAAAGGTTGGCAATATTTTTAAGTAAGTACCACAGATCCAATTGTCGATGCTTAACTTTTCTTTTACTTTAAGTTCTAAAGCAATGTTAATAACATTTTTCAGGAAATTGTATTCGTTTGCTCTCCTCCAAGAAAATTAGTTATGTGACGCATAGACAGCTTTGGCACATGTTTTGCAGTTGGATCATGTCTGGCTGACGATTCCTATGCACTCTGTATACTATGCCCTGTGCGTGATGCTTTCACATGCAAATCCAATGGCCGTGTCTGATGATGAAGAAGGAATCTTTATAGGTTAGACTGCTCTAATGAGAAGAAGAAGAAGAACACGATGAAGGTACCACAGGCATGGCAGCTAGGCAATGGGAACACACACATTATACCAGGACCAAGCAGCAGACCAACCGCAAGGTCACCTAGATGGATAATCATTTTGATATGCTTGGTATGTGTCTCCTTGATTGGGGTGTATGCATATCCACCTCGGCGGTTTTCAGCTTGCTACTTCTTTTCTTCAAGTGTTTGCAGCCCACATAACGATTGGCTGCCTCCTATAGCACGGGAACTTACCGATGATGAGATTGCTTCTCGTGTTGTCATTAAAGACATTCTTTCCATGCCATTAATTCAACCAGAGAATCCCAAAATTGCTTTCATGTTCTTGACTCGAGGTTCACTGCCATTCGAAAAACTCTGGGAGACATTCTTTCTGGTAAAGCTTTAATTTTACTATATGACTTTGCCCTTTTTCCTCTGCTGTTTTGAAGTTCTTGTGTTTTTTTTTCTTGCAATAAAATACAAATAATTTATCTCTCTTATTTACCTGTTCTACTTGAGTGTTTGACTCGATAGTCGAGATTCATAATGGCATTCCTAAAGCTCCAGATCTTGTTGCAATATGGTAAGATTATTCATATATATGAAATACTTCTTTCTGTGTTTCATCTTAGATATAATGGGAATGAGATATTTAAGTATATTTTAGCAGTCTTGAGACCACTACAGTTAAAACTTAAAAGATCATTAAATGGTACCATGGATGCTTGTGACCAAGCTTTTCGTTTCCCTTGTCATTGTTCAAAAACAAAAAAAAGAACAAAGTAGCATTTAACAGGTTTTTTAAACAGACTAGGAAACAAACAAGAATAATTTTTATTTGCTAGATTTATTGAATCATACATGTGCTTATTCCATGGCATATTGTTAATTCAAAATCGACTACTTATGATACACTTATGGACCATCAGCTTGAGAGAAAATCCTATTGGACATGAATAATTTAATATTTTTACTGTGTCCATTTCAGGTATATGTCAGACACAAGGATAGTTACATGTACAAACTTCCTCGAAGCATTTTATTTCTAAATAAATATAAAAATGAACATATACCTTTTGATAACTTAAGGGAGACCTTATAAATACTTCTTGGGAAAAACTTGTGGAATATTGTTTTTCTTGTTTCTGGTAAATGTCAAACTTAAGAAAATCATAATAACAATCTTAAGTTCTTTCCGTATTCTTTAAATTTGTGAAGTGCTATGTTACTAAGAATAATCTCCTTCATGATGTATCTAGGGATGTTAATTAATTGCTTGTTCTTATTTATCATGTTTTTCTATCTGTATATATCAAACTTTAATATACCAGTAATGTATCTAAGATAGTTTTTAGTGTTTTTTGTGTACCTATCTGACCTACTTTCAAAATTTGCTATAGCGGCATGTCTCTATTGTGTTGTATCATGTTTCGTGACTGTATCCATGCTTCATAGCTTACCAAAAATATATATGACTCACTTCTACATTTAAGGGATCGATGTAAGGTGTGATGTAAGTATATTATGTAGTGTGAAAAATATCTTGTTTGGGCAATATTGGATCTAGTGGAAGAACTTTTGGAACTTGTCCGATTTTAACGAAATAGAATTTCCTGAAAGCAAGTCTGTTCTTTTGGGTAGATAAATGATCTGGTGATTCATTGTGTACTTTTTCATTTGTCACATTAAATTTCCAAATGAGCACTCCATTCTTGCAGGACGTTTGTGGGTTAAAATGAGGTGCAGTTGCTTATATCACCCTGCATCATAAAAAAAAATCATTTTTACACTCTGGAATATCATATATATCCCAATAAATTAAAGAATCATCATATTTGTCATGTCCCCAATTAGCTTTTGACAGTTATGGTTTCTTTAATACTGCCTCAAATAGGAAAAATAAAGCCACTCCGACACTGTACTTTTAAATTAATTGAATATTGAAAATTCCTACATATCTGTATTCTCATTCTTTCCCTATCACTTCAAGTTTTTTCCTACTCATCCTGTTCACCTTGCTTTTCCCTCCACCATTGTTTATCTTTTTAACAGCCAAGGTAGATATAATAGATGGAACAGAGGGGAAGAGGGGTAAGGGACAAAGGGTGGAGGTGAAGATAAAATTGGAGGAAAGGAAAAAGTGGTGACAGGGCATGGACACATGAGAAGCTGGGAGGGGGGAAGAGAGAGGTAATGAGTAGAAGTAATTTAGTCAGTCAACTGTCAGATTTTGGAATTGTTGTCTGACATTAACTTTTTATGAATGTTTAAAGGGTCTGAGAGGTACATATGATATTTGCAACTTCAATGATGTATATATGAAGCTAGGATTGCTGTTGGCAGGCATATATTTGCAATTCTGCCAACAATGGATTTGCATATACTGATATAAGTGGAATTTGTCTAGTAGAAGCTTCACACAACAATGAGTAAGCTATAGTTTCCATGTATCACAACAGAATTACTGCTTGAAACTATCTTTTGTTCTAGACCAGGTCTTTGCTCTATGAAATGATTACATTTCAAACATGGGAACTTCGGCATGTATAAGTTGGTCAAAAACCAAGTTTGTATTTGTATGTCAGACCAAGTTTACATGGAATAAATGCAAATTTGTAACTATTTTAGTTATAAGAAAAGAATAGATTCACAGTATAGTTTATAATCTGAAGTTGTGGTTAAATCTGCGTCTACAGGGCCATGAAGGGAGATATTCCATCTATGTACATGCATCACAAGAGAAGCCAGTGCATGTGAGTCCTTTATTTGTTGGCCGAGGCATTCGGAGCACCAAGGTAGTTGAAAATCTCATCTTCTATACTAATTTTCAGAAGCTTTTTGTTAGCCCAATCCATGCATGAATGAAATTGCAAGACAGACATAAAAATATTGGGTATCCTATGTATTTGTATCCTAGATAGATCACTGGCCGTTGATCGTCATGTCCATCTATAGATAAAAAAGGATATCGAAAAATTCTTGATGCTATACTTGCATATATTGTATGCTCATATAACCACAGGCTATTGGTTACCATGTCCATTCCTGAGAGAGAAAAAAAATATCATAATGTCTGACACTATTTCTTGATGCTATAATGCATGCTGTGACAAATAAGTTGTACCAGGAGTACGCATCAGTTGCTACAACTTCAAATAAATGGGTATGGGTATGTAGTGACTATGATGTCAAGGGGAACACTGAGATTCTTCAATTAGCACTTCTACACCTAAGATATTGTTATTCAACCTTCATGATTTGTCATTCTATATGAGTTGATACGTCTTGATTCATGATTTAATGTGTATAGAAGGATATTAGTGATTTTTCATGATTCAATTAGTGATTTTTCACAATGCTTGTATCCTTTTCTCTAGGTAGTTAAACATTGGAGCTTTTATTGTAGCTTCTTTATATTTGCTTCATTTGTTAAATTCTCTTTTGATCATCTGTGAATAAACCTTTTAATCAGATTCCAGTTAACTTTTGTGTGTTAGCTTATTCATTACAAACAGATTTCAATTTTAGAAATTAATCTGCATGGAGTGACATTGCAACCTCAATAGAAGTGTGGTAGCTTAGTGAGCAATGAACTTCCAAGATGCAAAAGTTTGTTAGTGTCTAGTTACAGAACTAGAAATTTACCACTGAAATTGGTGAAGGCCACATCACTTCATACTTGCTAAAATTATGGGAAATAGCAGATTGTAATATTAGAAAGATGGGTGTAGTACTCAGTTGTAATAATTATACAAGAACCATTATAATGGAGGGCGCAAAAGATGGTGTTGATGCAGTTATAAAAGGTCAGATGTAGGAGAGCTACAAATGAAATAGGATGAGAAACTTGAAATTGGAAATCCAAGGATGCAAGATTGAGGAACCTGCTGCTAAATATTATGGGCCAGGTACACTCTTTGAAGCTTGCTCTTCCAACACCTTTAAAAGCTTGCCTTGCAAGTAGATTAAGCATAGGAAGTGGCATCAAACTTTAACATTTGGGTATCATGGAGGAAGGAACTTCACAACGTAAGAAGAAAATGTGTCTTATAAAGCTCAAAATGTTGAGAATGAGCATCTCGAGCAGTTGGAACTGCAAAAGTCCTGGTGTAGGTTTGATCTGGTCACTTAGTCTGGCCTTCTGGGCTTACAAAATCTTCTTTTTCTATATACCAAATAGTGAGTGACTGAACTCAAACGTGCAACTTGTCAGACAATTCTATTTTTATAAATGAATAGATAAACTTGGTTTTTTAGTTGTTAAAATCTATAAACAGGAAAACCTATCAGTTCAGTCATCATTTACTTTTAGACAGTCATGTGTTCTATGTTGTCATGTTGTTTAGGTTCAGCTAATACTTGATCAGAATCAGTGTTTGAACTTAAAACATTTGCACATTCAGGTTATATGGGGTAAAATTTCTATGGTTGAGGCAGAAAAGAGGCTCCTGGCAAATGCACTCCATAACCCTGATAATCAACAATTTATTTTGCTCTCTGACAGGTGATCAACCATGTGAATCTTTTGCCATGCTTTTCTGCTAGTGAACTGAATCTCATGTCTTTTATTGCAGTTGTGTTCCTCTTCATAATTTTGATTATGTTTACAACTATTTATTGGGAACAAATGTCAGCTTCATTGACAGGTAAGGCTTCTATATACATCTTGCCAAAGAATTTACTGAGCTTTTTTCTGTTGGATTGGTTTGGTCTTATTTGTTGTATAATAAATTATGTCTAGTTCCAGCAAATCTGAAACAAAATTACTATATGTAGTTATATAAACTATTTTCCCTGATGCATTATCTTCCTCTGATAATTAAAGAACTGATTCCTGGCTTCCTTTTTATAATCGTTTGAGACTGCTGTAGCTTTTGGGATCCTGGTCCACATGGTAATGCCAGATATACAGAGCATATGTCGCCTGAGATTGAAGAGAAGGACTTCAGGAAGGGTGCACAGGTAAACTTGTTTTTCTTTTTTTCCATTAAAAATACTACCTAAGATAACCAAGCTAGCCATGAGTTGCAAGAAAAGATAGATAGATTGACCAAGGAAGACGGATAAAAAGAAAGTGGCATGCTCTTGAAGTGCAGAGAGTAACTACTAGCTTCCAATATTACAAAATAGACACCTGGCCTAATCCTAATAATGAACTGATCACATTTTGAAAGTCAGAATCAAGTGAGCTTAAGCTACCTGCATTGAGTCTAGAGCAAGAGACAAAACTAAGTCAAAGTAAGTCTGATAGCGTGATGCTTTTCCATTTAATACATGCAAGAGCATATCAAATCAAATTTCATTTAGGAGTTACTGGAGTTCTGAGCAATTATTAGCTGTTTCATGCAATTTTTAAAATAACTGTTAGTTTTTGTCCTTTTTGTAGGATATAGAACAGCATGTACTTTGTTTACATTATATCGTTAGTGTCATGAGGATATCCTTTCTTGGAAGAAATACCTGCGTATGTTAATTTTATGTTCGAAATGATACAAAGCCTTTATGTTAAAGAAATAAAGGTTACATTTTTATTATGTCCAAAGACATTTCTGTTACCTTATGACATGTTGAGTCTAACGCACTTTGCAGTGGTTCACAATGAAGCGAAAGCATGCTTTAATAGTTATGGCAGACAACCTTTATTTTACAAAGTTCAGGCTTTATTGCAAGGTAATACATGGCTACATCTCTTTTTCTGTTGTATATCCAGAGTAGAGTTTTACAAATGTGCAACAGAATGCAGATGATTGCTATTTCACGAAAATCTATTTTATTGAGTTGCATAAAGCATCAATTGTTGAATTAGATGACTAGGGATAGAAGTTTGATCTGTGTTCTCTGATAAGTGCCTTTGGTCAAGTCACTTAGTTGTTTTTTCTTTTTTTTTTTTTCAGTTTTGGTAGTAATGATGGTGGAGGAATGTTTTGTTTACTCAGTATGCTTTAATATGTGACACTCCAATAATAGAAGGAATGTTCCAACCACAACTCAACCCAAAAATTGAAAAAAAAAAAAAAAAAAGAGTTGGAGGGTCCACTCTTATGGGAGAATTTTTTTGCTCTCTTGTGCATAATGGACAATTTTTTACTTTTCACCAGCTTTGGCTTGAGATTAGTTTTGGTCGTAAAGATGTATCCATTAATGCATGTATTTTCAAATTACAGTGACAGGAGTCATGCACTCTCATCATCAAAGGCCTTGTTGCCTTGTTTGTTTAAGGCAGTATATTGTTTACCTGGTTTATCATGTTGACAAACTTTTCTACCAGTTTATTTTGGGATGATTGCAGCCTCAGATTTGTGACAACCTTGTTTGAGGGCCCCTGAATATGCCTCTTTAAAATTTTGTTTTACACATATAACTTCTGTTTTTTTCTGCATAACTTCAATTTGAGAGATAAAATGATGGAGATTACCCTCATGAAAAATATACTTACAGTTTTATATATTTGACCTTGGCAGCCAGGTTTTGATGGACGTAATTGTTATGCTGATGAACACTATCTGCCGACTCTGTTCAATGTCAGCACATAAGACCATTTGTATTGTCAGCCTGTGAAGTTTTCTGTTATCTGACAATTAGTTACTGGCTTCCCAGGACTTATATATCTTTATTCTGCAGATGATTGATCCCACTGGCATTGCAAACTGGTCGGTGACACACGTGGATTGGTCCGAAGGAAAGTGGCATCCAAAAGCATATCAGGCTAAGGAAGTGACATATGAACTCCTGAAGAACATAACTGTATACTTTTGCCCCTTCTTGAGATATTAAGTTTAATCTGTTGTGAAGCTTCTGAATGTACTTTTGCTGATATAACTAATATTGGCAGTCTATTGATGAGAATTATCATGTCACAAGTGATGATAAGGTAAAATTTAAAACCCACTTATTTGTTGACCGTGTGAATTTTGTATTTGCAGTATGCTTTCCATGTTTCCCTTGCAAAACAAAATAAATGGTATATGGTTTCATGACTGTTGCAGAAAGTCAAGACGGTGTCGCCTTGTTTGTGGAACGGAATGAAGAGGCCGTGTTATTTGTTTGCCAGGAAATTTTTGCCTGAAACCCTTGACAATTTGATGCAGCTGTTCTCCATCTACAGAGTCATTTAAGTTATCTTCCCCATTCCATTATTTTGCGATGTCTGCACCAGACCTTCCCATGCTTGTGAGAAGTCATTTATGCTGTAAGAATGGTCGTAAATTTGTGAAATTCCATTTCTTTCAGTACCAATCTGGGCCTGTAAATGGTGTGGAATAATTGTTGAGGCCAATGGAGGAGTCTTTTGAGTAGGGTTATGGTGGCTGCTATTATATGTTACGATGCCCTGTAGTCGACTTGTTTGGGGCTGTAAATGGTGTGGAAGATTGTTGGGGCCAATTGGAATGTCTTGCACTTCTCGAGTCTCTCGAGTAGGGTTATGGCGGTTGCTATTATATGTTAGGGCCTGTAAATGGTGTGGAAGATTGCTGGAGCCAATTGGAATGTTTTGCAAGTCTGAGTCTCTCCGGTTATGGTGGCTGTTATTTATATGTTATAACCATGCCCTGCAGTTGGCTTTGCTTAACCCTTCCCTTTTTGTTTGTGATTGTAACTATGGACAGCAAAATTTGTTAATCATATATTTATTTGCCTTTTTCTTTGTTCTCTTTCTATAGATTACAATTACACCTGTTTTTTCTTCATATGGTGAAGCATATAGCTTTATTCATGACTGAATGCAACTCTACAGATTGGGGCAAGTTAGAATCGGTCTATAGCAGTTACAACCGGCTTAGGTTTTCTTGAAAACATGTTCTTCCCTCATTGATTTAGCCATGAAAAGATTATAATTTTATCCTCTCATCTATTTGCAAGCTGTACATATTAATGATCTTTTCCTGCCACACATGTATGCCAAGATGGCCATGTAAACAGAGTTTGATTGTAGAGCCTCTGGTTGTATTTATATTTGATTGATGAAGTTCAAGAAAAATTTAGAGCCCCCAAAATAATTAGATTCTGTGCTCTTTTCTTGTCAAAACATGAAATTTTTTAATGATGCATGTATGTCGTTATGCATGAAAATTTTTAGATTTTGCATTTACATGCATTCAAATATTTGAACACTCATATTAACATCCATCCAATAAACTCAAGTCTATTTGTCAATATTATTCTATTTAAGAAATTTGCTAAAAATTAAATATTTAAACTTATCTTATATTATCGGTACAAATTATTTGAACTATATATATATATATATATATATATATATATATATATATATATAAAGGGTAAAGGGAAAAGCCAAACTTTCTTGCTATTGTCGTTATTTTTGCTTTTAGAGCAAAACTATATATATATATGTATATATATAAAGGGTAAAGGGAAAAGCCAAACTTTCTTGCTAGTGTCGTTATTTTTGCTTTTAGAGCAAAATTGTGGACTAGTATTTTTATCCTTATTATTTTGGGCCATCCAAACCGCCTCATACTTTTAGAGCAAAATTGTGGACTCGTACTCTCCTCTTCTCTGTTGCCGAATGGAAGTCTCTCGGTGGAGCCAATGCTACGCCGTCTTCTCCCAGATGAAGAAGAACACCTCTGCTCCCTTGCTAGGTTAGCGTGTCCTTTTGCCGCCTCTTTCTCGAATTTCTACTTGCCTTTCCCGCTCGAAAGTCGTTCTTTTAAGGGATTTGTTACCTTCCGCAGCCAAGAAATCCAAATACTCTGGCCAATCAATTGTAAGCACACTCCATTTACGGGTTCTTCTTCGGAATTTTAATGATTTCGATGCGGAAGATTGAGTCTTTTTGTCGAATCTTAAGCATCAAGTTTTTTTTTTCTTTTTATTTGATTCGTATTATTTTTTGCTTCAAGAGAGCAATTCCGATTCGAATATTGACGGTGGGCAAGAGGAGGTCTCCAGGGGTGCAGCTTTTGGTCGAGGAGTACATGGAGAAGCTCAGGTACTATTGCAGCGTCGAGGATGTCCATGTAAAGTCTAATCCAAAAAGTAGCAGGTATTCTATGCTATTATCTTCTTCTTCATGGAGACTAAAGATATTATGCCTTTTCTTAAAAATTAATGTAAATATGCAAGGCTTGTGCAAATTAACGTCTTGGAGGAGTGTCGATGCCTCAAAATTTATGTATGCCTAAATTTTAGAAAATTGGAAAGGTGTCAACTTTTTTGTGCTTTTTCTTTTGGAAGTCTTATTTATGTATAATTACCAAACTTCTAAACTTACTACTGTAAGTTTATGCTTCTGATACTCTAAGCAGCAATGTGAAAGCTCAGATTGATGCAGAAGACATGGTCATTATGCAACAGATCAGACATGAAGATTGGGTATGGTCTTAATTACATTGTCTATTGTCCTTCACTGTGCCATAACTTCTATTGGAGTTAACCTCGAGTGGAAGAGTTAGAGGGTAACTGCTTGATCCCATTCTTGTGAACAGCTGCTGGTTATCCAACTACTGTATCACAAAGAGTATTTTATCTCTGATATCCAACTAACAAAGAACGTAGAGAAAATCTAAAGAAGAAAAATGTAACTAGTTATGATTACCCGTCATTTGTCAGTTCCATCATTTATTTTCTATAGTTTTCATGTACTTGTGTTAAAGAATTCTTTAACTTGTTCTTGTTTTATTTGCTCCTCTTGAATTAGGTTGTTGTGTTGGATGAGCATGGACTAGATGTCGGATCTGAGCAGTTAGCTGATTTATTGGGTGATGCAGGAAGAACAGTATGTACTTTACCTTTACCTTAGATGATCCTTGAAAATGCAGCAGAGTATCTGAATTTTTTTCAACTTTACAAAAGGATTATGTTTCATGAAAATGAGTGGGCATGACAGTAGTCTAGCATCCTTTTTCAAGTATCTTCAGTTCATTTTCAGTCCAGAGGTAACATTGACTACCAATATACTTAGACATACTTCACAGAGACACTCTCATTTGTTAGACATTAGTGTAAAGCAGAGGCTAGTAACTTTTAGTGATTCTTGTGTCACTCCGTTTCCTTCAAAGGAAAGCCATTCCTAGCAAACGTCTTCCATGGAAGGGATGATGAGCTTCTTTGAAGCCTCCAATAGTTTCAGGCAGCAACACCGGCAGTGGAAAGTTTTGCTATATTTTTCTTACCTCTAAATTCTCTACAGTAATTATGATAAAAAAAAAGTACGAAAACTAGATTTTCTACATTGTTTTATAGCAGCATTGTAGATCTTTAAGATGACTCACATTTTAATGTACTAGCGGACTTGTCAGTCAAGCTTAACTTCACCTCTATTCCTTCCCTTGCCAACCATAACTAATAATGCATGGCCTACGTGGTTGAAGCCATAAAAAGTATCTCTACTTCCCACTGGTTGATCTCTGTTGGAATTGTCTATGCAGCAACTTTCTCCTATAAAGTCATGGTCATGTCAAGCATGAAGGATGTAGTGGGAGGTGAACTGGCTTGTAAGAACCAGATTTAATCAAAATAATCTCTATATTAGACCCTCTTTCATCATTATTGTAGTTCAAGACTTAGTTAACTCAGTTGTAATTGGCTTTAGTGGACTAGTTGCTTGAATTTCAGTCATATAGTTTTAAATTAATGGAAATGTCCATATGTTCAAGTCGTATGTTGTTTTTTTCTGATATGTGCAATATCAAATGGTTTTAGACTTTTAGTAAGTTGATCCCTCTGAATGAACCTCAAATATGATACACTTAGTTGAACCTTTATTTGTAGAAGATTTATATGAAGAAACAGTATAGTGTTGAATGTACAACAATGCACATCTGAACTTTTCCCAATCCTGTGGAGTTACGTATTCAAGTTTGTAATGCTTTCTGCAGAGAAGAGACAATATGGAGTTACATATTCAAGTCATTTCCTTTTTTTTTCCAAAGAAACAGTTTCTTCTTGTATTTTCTTGTAGGGTTCAACAAGACTTGCCTTTTGCATTGGCGGCCCATATGGTCATGGACCACAGTTGCGGAATCGTGCCGATGTAACGATTCGATTATCTTCAATGGTGTTGAATCACCAGATTGCATTAATTGTGTTGTTGGAGCAACTTTATAGGTAAGACTGCCACATTTGAGTTCCTTTTGCTTCATCTCTTTCTTTGAATTTGAACTTGGATGATATTGTAGTCATAAAAAGTATGCTCTGCATTACATCATAAATCATTTGAAGTATTTATGGGAATAAAAAATATGGAATTCTCTAATACCTTAACAACTGTAGTAGCATAAATACAACTTCGTATATATTGTCTTCCATCTTTGTTGATTTGCTCTAATGTTGTTGAAATCTGGGACCCCAGGTGAGGAGGAGAAGATCTGAAAATTTTGTGGAAGGCTGTTCACATGATCATCTAAAACTGGCATGGAATCCCATTTACATTGTGCTACAGCAATAAATGTCTTGGATTTTGTAAAGAGAATGAATATATTAAGAGAATGATAGAGAAAGGAGGAAAAATGATCACTTGTGAAAATGTGGATAGTAGGAAAAGTAGTACCTTTGACCCCATGCTTTGCTTTCTTTGAAGATATGAAGCCTTTAACCTGATGCCTAATTATATTCTGCATTCTAGAGTTTCCATTGATTAACTATCTAATTGTTCCCCATTAAATTGGTGAGTAAAACTGCACTGGATTTTCAGATCATGGACAATCATCAAAGGCCAGAAGTACCATCATTAGGATGCTTATCAGTCTTCTTGATTTCGTGGCAATTTCCTGGTAAAGTTGCAGTATGCAAAGATTCCAAGTTTTGCTTGTTGACTTTGCAGGTGAGATATGTTAGTCCATTTTATTCTTGCCCACGTTTCCCTGTTGTATCTACAACCTCAAGTTTCCAAACCTTTAATGTTTCATATTTGATTCAAACTTCTGCATTTGGTGCAGCCTGCAATCAGGCATATAAAAACGAGTGTAATCTCCTCGAGCTCATCTATTTCTTTGCAGAGTGAGCATCAATCGACCTGTTGAAGCTGGCATTTTAATTATCCAGAAAAAAAGCTGTCCATAAAGCATCCACCCAAGATGAGATGTGTAGTAATTCAGAGCACTCGATGATGCCACCACTTCCACCTGCAAATCCCAGACTGATCATGGAGTTCACACAGGACAGGATGAGTTGCTCTGCAACAATCACAGACATGGGATTATTTTCCTATCACGGTCGTGCCATCCTTGTAGCATGGACCTGTTAAATTGTATATGAAGAATTGGTTTTTTGTACGTCATCTCGTTGCTTCCTGATTGTGTTATATACATGTGGAGGTATTTGTTTTGATGTAAAGCGAACAAAATGCTCATTAGGTTACTCTAATCTAAGGTTCGTAATATTGTACCGTACCGATATTTCGACCTGAGCTCGGTATCGGTATGGTATAGTGTATCAAACGGTATATCCAGGTGTACCGAACGATATACCCAGGTGCACCGAGCATTGCTATAGTGCACTGCAACAGTGCACTGTACTGCTATAGTGCTACAGTGTACTGCTATAGTCGGATCGGTAGCGGACGGCCCGCGTATCGTTGACCTATCGGATCGGTATGTACTGTCTGTACCGGGCGGTACGATTCGGTATGGTAGACCTTGCTCTATTCTGCCTTGCTCTAATCTATACTACTTGTGAGGCTGTCACTAATCGTTCTGTTAAAAAGTAACTTAGTTGGAGCTTATGGCAGTGCTCAGTCTGCAGTCTTTGAGTATTTCTTATATCAATTGGATCCTTTATAATCCTTCTGTGACCACTTAACGCTGATCATTCTCTATAAATAATGAGAAAGAACTTATAATAGGTTGTACTCGACCTTGTTCTGCAAACCAATCATCTGGTAAGAAACGGACTGATTCATTGCATCACTGCAAGATCATAGAACCATTGATACACAACCCTGACTTTGTGACACGAAACCTGGAGCAAGGTTTGTTATACTATAGTGGTACATATCGATTTATCCATATGCTTAATTGTACCATGTGTTAGTATAGATTGATATAGATCATACCATTAGGCGATCTATCATGGACAATACTATAAACATGTAATGCGCTCGAGTATGTTTGTCTTTTAGTTTGTTTTATGCTTTAAACAAGATTTACAATAGATTTTGCAGTCCTATTTTTATTGGATTTTATGGTCATTTCAGGCTTATAAAGGCAGTTTGTGTGTAGTCATCATGTAGAGATAAAACTACCTAGAAATAAATCATCTAGACTGCCATTTTGGAGGTTTCTTAGCTTTGCAAAGTGGTGCGGAGTGTTAAACAATACAGCACCCAGGAGCTACTCGAGTGTCACATGATTGGATGGGCCTTTCGGGTAGTATCTAGAGTTGGTTCACTACTTTGTTCCATAGTAGTATCATGTGAGCATTTGTGGGGACTTTTGATCGTAACGAACTACTTTGGACTTTTTGTCGTGTAACTGCTCAGAGTTTGCAAAGTCTATGTTTGTAATTTGCATTGTCTATCAAGTGTTTACTAAAATGGTTGCTTGTGGATCTCGAGTTAAATGCTTTCTCTAGCCCGTCTTCTTTTTTGTATGTCCTTAAGGGACTATAAAAGGTTTCGCCGAGATTAACCCTTTGCGAATGGACAAGCAAGAGTGTCACATGACTTAGGCAAAATCAACGAAGTATGTGACAAATGGTATCAGAGTGGGATAAACACACTTACAAACACTTAGCATGCAAACGTGAGAAACCTAATAGGGTCACGTTGAGGGTAGTCAACACATGTGATTGTTTGAAGGAAACAAGCATATAGACACAAGGAAAAGAGTCGCTTAGAAGAGCGAGAATCTGATATTGACATTTAGAAGAATAGTCAACTTTTCGTGCGAGAGGTACCATAAGAACAAGCTAGCTGGGAAGAACACATAGTGCATAAAAGTTGGAATAGCTTAGTTCGAGCTATGGCTCGATGTCAACAACTAAACTTAATAGTGCTCAAGGCAAGCAGGGCGCTTGGCAAAGGATGAGACCGTGTAAGGTGAGATGGGTTGCATAGTGACCGAAAGAGTTGTGCAAAGCTCACAAAGGTAAGGGGAATTACTAACCCAAAAAATTTGATACTAATGCAAGAGCTTATATGCAGATAATGGATTATCTATAGCAATCCCAAGACGATCAAAACTCGACGCCATGGAGCATTGAAACTTTCTCTTAAGCATGAGAATGATACATTTGTATGAGGCTACAGTATACAACAAATTTAACATGCTTCTAGGCCTTGAGGGATTCAACAGAGGCTATATTGGTGAAGAGTCACAATCTAGCAAGTGCATTCACATAGGTGGAACAGTGCATAGTTTATTTAGCAAGACGGAGTAGTCCAAAAGGATGATGGTCTTTGAAACTTTCAGAGGGAAGGATAAAAAGAGAAAAGCTGCTTTAACGGGATAGATATCTAGGAGGGATAAGTTTTGATTCTCTAAAGGGAGAATCATGTGTAACAAACTGCATATGTTTAGGAGGGGTATCTCAAGACAATAACTCCACAAAGCTTAATAGACCACGTAAGTGACAATAAGCTGTCGCATGATCTCACATGATGTAATGCATTAGTGGACATGTTACGAGATCAAGTGGAGGAGTAATCTAAGGCAATACCAAATGAAGACACACTTAGTGACGATGTGGAGATCTGATTCAATAGAAAGCTGACCTATAAAATGGTATACGTGAAAGCCACCATCAACTTAATGCAAACTAAGAAATGGAGCAACTTGGGTGGAATTTGGTGAAGTGCTCAAACCACATGAAGAGAGTCAACATAGAAAACGAAACATAGAGTGTAGGCACGAAGCTTTCCTTGAATGAAAGTCAAGGACATAAACTCTTGCAAAGGCAATAGCGAGATCATGTCATTCCATATGTCTCTTATTCTGATAGAGCAGACTCAACCTGTTAGTGGCAAAGTTGAAGTGAGTTTGAGGCATATGCACCTTATCTCGACAAAGTAGTTGATAGAGGAACTAAGGTGACTCAAATTGCAGAGGCGAAGATGAGGTCAGAAGGACTTAGCACGTGACAAGAGGACATAAAGGCGGGTGTACTCTTAAATAGTATGTCATAGTACTGTCATTCGAGTTGTCACGAAGAAAGCAATGCACAGTGGAGATTATGTTATGGGACAGAAGCCCAAGATCCAAACAATGACACCAATTTCAATGAAGTTAATGGACTTTGAGAGCTACTAGGTGATGGACTATCTTAAAGATGTGCTTCGTCTAAGTGTGACCCAAGAGTAGGTGGATGCAAGTCATGCTAGTTATAGGTGCCCTACAACCCAATCACGTGAGTGATGACACGTGTGACATGATATGCACTCTTTTTACTTATTATATTATTTAATATTTTATTATTTTATCTTGCATGTTGTATATATTGTGATGTTTATGGATCTGTGCAATAGGAATCAGATCGTGATGAGATCATAATAATGAGACTGATTCACCTTTAAATACTAACCCTAAATAATCATGATCATGTTGGGAAATCTTGGGGGCGACATCACATGCGCAGCGGAAGAACAAGAAAACAAAATCCCCGATTCCCAAAGAGATGTTTGTCGTCGTGCGAAGATTGGTGCGCAAAATCCGCGAAACTTAAAACTACGTATAGAGTAGATTGTGTTACTAAGGGAGATCGTATATCCATGTTTCCTCGCAGATCTTTAGGAGAGGGTGAAGGAGGTCAAGCGTCCTCCTCTCTAGCGGTGATCCACACAGTAGGGCTGCGACGATGCTCCTCAAAACTCCAGGCCTGCTCTGAGGTAGAGAGGGGGAGAAGAATAGGAGAGGCAAGCAAAGGCTCTAGCCTATGAGGCTCTGAATCCCTCCTATTTATAGAGGTCCCCTGTCAAACCCTAATGGATCCTCGCCTAGTGGGTATTGGATCTGCATCCAATAACCCAAGCCTTTTAGATTAATGGATCTCTATCCAATAATCTCTCATGGGCTCTTATTGGATCTCGTCCATGGGATCCAATAATTCAGGGGCTTATTGGATATCCAATAAGACAAGGGCTCTATCGGATATCTCATATCTGAACCTCTACTCATCGCAATGTCTACCATATGTGTGTGACCCTCTAGGCCCAATATCGAGCTGGCCGTGAGTCATACCTGTTAGAACTCCTTCTAACTCAGTGAATTATTATCTCTGTAATAATTCACTTGACTCATCGACTACAGACGTACTAGGCCACTATGCCGTAGTCCCCAGACGATACAGGGGAATCCAATCCATTGGACATATCTGTCCTTAGTTACTGTGTACCTATAGTCCTTCATCCATCTAATATCCCAGAGACCATATATCGAGCATGGTGTTGTCAGACCCATACGGTTTCTACTCAAGTCTCGCTCTAATCGGATTCTCCCGGAGAACTCTTTCTCTCTCAACTCGAATGACCTTGGCCAGGGATTTGTCTGAGCAAGAACACATGAGATATTCCTCTCATGACGCTGAGAGTGGATGATCCTCTATCGACACTCGATAGCCCTCGTAAGGTCGACTACCACTCCCAATGACCAACTGTACTAGATCTAGGACAACCAAACCTATAAGTCTGGTATCAAAGAGTGGAGCACTCATACAGGACATCCTTGGTGTCTCAAGTCTAAGGACCAGATATACCACTAGGACTACGGAATCACTATCTGATAATAAGGCATCATCAATCATCCAGCATTCCGTAAGTGGATCAATCAGTGAACTCATTCTCCAATGAGCACCTGTACTGTATCCCTAGTGTCCTTACACGAGCAGCTATGAGACCAGCTGCATCCATCATATGGATGGGGATACAGCACACCAGTCTGTCCGGTTATCATGATTTTCCTCTCGAGTAACCTATGACCGGGATTATTTATGATCTGTGTTTAAAGGTAAATCGATCTTATTATCGTGATCTCATCATGATCCGATTCCCATTGCACAAATCCAAGGACATCACAATATATATATGCATATATGCAATAGTTATAAAGTGATATATGCTAAAATATAATAAGCAAAAAGATTCTGTATCAAGTCACACGTGCCATCACTCACGTGATTGGCTTGCTGGGCACCTATGACTAGCAGGTCATAGGTCACTCGAGAGGGATATCGAGATGACTGGATAGATTGGTGTGTTGTATACCCGTCCATATGATGGAGGCGGCTGGTCTCATAGCTGCTCATATAGGGACACTAGGGATACCGCGCAAGGTGCTCATTAGAGAATGAGTTCACTAATTGATCCACTTACGAAATGCTGGATGGTTGATAATACC